ATATATATTTCTGGTATCTGTACAAAAGATATAATGTGCATTGTAATAGAATTGGAGAAAAAAAAAGAAAGGTGTGCATATATGATGAAGAGTACATGAAATTTGTATTCGTATGAACTGATGTGCTATTGTATATTGTGAAGGAGAGAAAATGATTGATGAATGTCATTACTGTTTCTGATGTTGTCAGCATTAGATTGGCTGTCTTTTTACTGTTTGTAAAAGTTTTTAGATTTGATCTATTAATGCCAATTATAGGGCGGGACTTTTACACCCAAACTCTCACATTTTATTGTTAGTTGTTTTTTTTTACGCATGAATAAGATAATTTTTCTTCCTGCAGGTTTTTGATTGGCCGTGAGAAGGACCCGAGCAAGAGTGAGGTTGCTCGGTTAATTCAGCAGTCTTTGGAGCAGGACAGACGCAGGGAGGAGATGAGGGAGCGGGAGCAGCAGAGGCTCAAACAGCTGGAGGACAGTTTTGAGGTACCTGAGTGGGGTTTGTTTTTGAGGAGAATTTTGAGGAACGTGAGTGGGGTTTGTTTTTGAGGAGAGTTTCGAGGAACTTTGTGGTGTTAGTTTTTTACAAGATTTTTGAGGTACTCAATGAAATTAGAGTTTGAGGAGAGTTTTGAGGTAGTGAGTGGTGTTAGGTCTTGAGGTATTTACTAGTATTTAGTTTTTTAGTTTTGAAGTACTCGGTGGTTATAGTTTGGAGAGTTTGTAAGTGATCAGTTGAGTATGTTTTCTGGGAGGGTTTTGGTGTATTTATGGAGTACTTTTTGGGAGTTTTGATTTCCAAGTGCTGTAAACCTCTGTGACTAAAGCTGAAAAAATAACCGAACAAGCCTTTTTTTTTCCTTCCCCAGCCAAAGGATGAGGTGTTGGAGCGGCATGTGCACATGCACCAGCAGAATGCCGTGTCAGGTGGGGCGGACGCTTCGGGGGGCGGTGCCGCTAAGGAGGAGCAGGACAAGGTCAGAATCTCAAACATGCACATGCACGCACACACGCATACACAATGCATGCATGCACACTCACTCACACACACACACACACACACACACACACACACACACACACACACA